AAACGTCCTTGTAAAGGTAGTCTTTCAGTTCTGGCTAATCGCCATTACAGTTCAAAATTGGGATGCTTGCAACTGAACATCAAACATTCAAAGTAAAATTAATCAAATTAACTAAAATGTATACTTTGTTTTTCTTCTCAGTATATTTACAAGACAGGTAGTGAGTATGATGGTTGGAACATGGATGGTATACGGACAATTGTTTAAAAGTCCAAAACGTGTCTATCTAAAGCCGTTATGATATTCTCATCTTCTTTGTATCTTCTTAGGGAGTGACAGTGACAAACAGTCAGAGAAGCTACACACTCACTTATACCACGAAATATAATCCTGTTCAGTGACCTACTGGCTATACTCTAACAGTAAGATAGAGATAATGAAATTATCAATGCTATGACTGATCGTGGCAGGAATCTGGTTTTGAACATAACTGCCAGAGACAGAACGGCTTTGGAAACAAACTTTAGCACGACTCAAAATAGCCATTGTCCGGAGGCCATGCATTTCCTCTTGCCCTTGGTTAGGGTCAGCCTTGATTTGGACACTTCAGAGGGTTCGTCAAATTGCGCTGAGCCATTACTATTGTTGATTTTCACCATCCACAGAGACACATCTACTCTTGCTACACTGCAGTATTTGTGAACAGATTAAAGTCGTTTCGTCTGGTCCTGGCTTATACACTCGGACACACAAATACATGCTTTCACGTCGTTCTGTGATGCAGTCATCTTAAACACGCCGTCGAAACCTCACCTCACCCTCACCTCACTCTACCCCACCGCCCTAAGTCGTTCAGTTCCGTCCTAAGATAGCGCCGTCGAAACCCAGCTCAGCTCACCCTCACCTCACTCCACCCCATCACTCTAAGTTGTTCAGTTCCGCCCTCAGATACTGACGTCTCACTTCACCTCACCTCACCTCACCTCACCCTCACCTCACTCCACCCCATCACTCTAAGCTGCAGCTGTTCCTTCCGCCCTCAGATACCGTCACCTCACTCTCACCTCACCCCTCACCTCACTCCACCCCATCACTCTGCTGCAGCTGTTCAGTTCCGCCCTCAGATACTGACGTCTCCACCTCACCTCACCTCACCTCACCCCTCACCTCACTCCACCCCATCACTCTAAGCTGCAGCTGTTCAGTTCCGCCCTCAGATACTGACGTCTCACCTCCACCTCACCTCACCTCACCCTCACCTCACTCCACCCTCATCACTCTGCTGCAGCTGTTCAGTTCCGCCCTCAGATACTGACGTCTCACCTCACCTCACCTCACCTCTCACCTGACCTCACCTCACTCCACCCCATCACTCTAAGTTGTTCAGTTCCGCCCCTCAGATACTGACGTCTCACCTCACCTCACCTCACCTCACCTCACCTGATCACTCACCAGCTGTTCCACCCCCATCACTCTACCTCAGCTGTTCAGTTCCGCCCCTCAGATACTGACGTCTCACCTCACCTTCACCTCACCCCACCTCCTCACCCACCCTCCACCCATCACTCTAAGTTGTTCAGTTCCGCCCTCAGATACTGACGTCTCACCTCACCTCACCTCACCTCACCCTCACCCCACTCCACCCTATCACTCCTAAGTTGTTCAGTTCCGCCCCTCAGATACCTGACGTCTCACCTCACCTCACCACCTCACCCTCACCCTCCTCCACCCCATCACTCTAAGTTGTTCAGTTCCGCCCTCAGATACTGACGTCTCTCACCTCACCTCACCTCACCTCACCCCTCACCTCACTCCACCCCCCTCACTCTAAGCTGTTCAGTTCCGCCCTCAGATACTGACGTCTCACCTCACCTCACCTCACCTGACCCTCACCTCACTCCACCCCATCACTCTAAGTTGTTCAGTTCCGCCCTCAGATACTGACGTCTCACCTCACCTCACCTCACCCTCACCCTCACCCTCACCTCACTCCACCCCATCACCCCTCACTCTAAGCTGCAGCTGCCGCCCTCCCCGCCCTCAGATACTGACGTCTCACCTCCCTCACCCCACCCCCTCACCTCACCCACCCCATCACTCTAAGTTGTTCAGTTGTTCAGATTCTGCGTCCTCACCTCACCTCACCTGACCCTCACCTCTCACCCCATCACTCTAAGTTGTTCAGTTCCGCCCTCACCTCACCTCACCCTCACCTCACTCCACCCCATCACTCTAAGCTGCAGCTGTTCAGTTCCGCCCTCAGATACTGACGTCTCACCTCACCCTCACCTCACCTGACCCTCACCTCACTCCACCCCATCACTCTAAGCTGCAGCTGTCAGTTCCGCCCTCAGATACTGACGTCTCACCTCACCTCACCTCACCTCACCTGACCCTCACCTCACTCCACCCCATCACTCTAAGCTGCAGCTGTTCAGTTCCGTCCTAAGATACCCAAAGAAAACTAAAAACTGAAAAATCGCAGACGTATCATGCAATGCAAACCTTTCCTGTACACATATTTATAAAACCCATTCCTTCCATTTACCTTCTATATATGGCAAATGCCTAGAACATTTCGTTTTATTCTGTGAAATAATATATAACTGAAAAACACATCCGAAAGTTTATGAACGTATGTACGATCCCGAAGTCCTCTCAATCCCGCGATCCTTCTGGGACCGAAGACAACGCACGAGTGTTTCTGTCTCACCTGGTCTGGACAACAATGTTGACAAAGGATTGTGACACCTTCTCTGTGTAATCCCTGTCTCTTAGAGTTTTATATATCACCATCATACATTAGATATTGTCAAAATACGGAAGCGAGGTGTCATGACCTCCTTGAGAGTACTCCTGGTTGCCGGGACTCTACTGGGTCACGCCGGACGGTTATATCGAATTCTCTTTTACTATGTCTTTTCATTAACATTACATTGAGAGACTGACAAATTGTGATGCAGGTTTAATGTTGAAATATTGAACATCAGAACCATGCACCTCTCACCATCCACCCGAACCGGTATGTTTACCTCGGCTGATACGATGACAGAAGGGCATCTAGCCCACCCCGTACAACCTCCCCCCACCCCACCTCCCCGAACCGGCTAGATACTAGATAGCGACAGTAAGGACAAATCTCTACTCCACCACTACCCTGCTATACCCAGTTCTACCTTACCCTACACAGTTCGTCCTACAGACAGTGACAGTAGGGTGTAGCTGGATGGCAGTGACTTAACCGCCCCGCCATTGTCCATCCGACAACTTACCCCCCTCGATGGACAGGTGGTGACGTCAATCAAACAAATATAATATTTATTGCATGTAATGCCTCCAGCCCATATACAAATGGGTTACGTGTACGTAGGTTTTAAGTTTGTTCACATGGCATTTTAACATATATGGTCAGTTTTAATATAACAGCTTCATCGTATGAAGAGAGAAGAGAAATAAAAGCAGATACAGGGTAATTTAACATATATCCTTCTGGTATATACTTGTTTCTTAAGTCACAATAAAGTGGACATACAAAAGTAAAAATGAATTTCATTTTCAATAGCAGAATGACATCATGGGCATAAACTCTTCGATCTTTCAGTGGACATTTTTCTTCCTTCATTTATCTAGATCTAACAATCCAAGGATAAGTTGAATAAATTGACGTCTAAGGGATTTGGCTGTTAATAGAGACAAGTATTTTTCTGGTTGAAGAAGACTCTTAATAGTTCTGTACAAGTCATACCTTTTGTATTATTGCAAAATAATGTGAAGATATGGTCTGACGTCGAATATTTTTTCTGAAACCAGCTTGAGTTTCGGTAATCTTGTGTCGCATTAGACTCGCATATTAGCCCAATTCGTAATCCGGCTATTAAATCTTTCCAAGGATACTCATTAAGGGATATTCCACTGAACGCCTATCTTATGTATTGGGATGATTACCAACAACTGGGGAACATACCAGGATCTAACATCTTGTTGAAACATTTATGTAGAAAAGGCATCATTTTGGCAGATTTTATTATTTCAACCACAATATGGTCAGGACCAGGAGTTTTGCCACTTTTAGGTGCATTACGGCGTCCAGAATTTCATCTTGGGATATTGATGTTTCTGGAATATGTTGTCAGCGTGAGTATAACACGAGGGGGAAACATTTGGAATATCGTGAACACGTCACTGCAAGTGTTTAAAAAGTATCATTTGAAAAAACGCTCTTAAAATGAACAAACCATTAAGCCTTTGAGATATTATCTTTTGCGTTTGGCTGCATTTTAAAAGAACCCATTTGTTTCCAAAACCAAGAGGAAAAACGAATAGTACAGCTGAGAGTTTTTAGCCTAAGTTTACATCTGTCAGATTATATTTCCTACAGCAGGATTTGTATTGTTTCTCTATTTGCATTAGATATTTCTAGTAGAGTCAGTACGAAAACGTCTAAATGTTCTCAATGCTTTGGGAGCGTCTCGTCTAGCCATCTTACATTCGTCACTTAGAGGTGCATTAGTATGATGATTATGTATTAATGTATCTAAGATAACCTGCACGAAATCCTCTATAGCGATATCAGTGTTAAACTTCAGATTACTCAGTAGTTGCTGATTACAAGACACCAACCTTTCCTTCAAGCTGGTCAAAAACGTTTCACAAGGGGATTAATTCCAAACGATTTTTTCTTTAATACGACCAAATGTTAACTTACCACTTTGGTTGTTCATGTTTGGGAATTTGCATGTCAGTTCTAGTGGTAGATGATCGGGCTCTATACGGTCATCAGTGTTTAACAAGTTAATGTATTGAAAAATATCTGCAGAACAGTCATTATTCACACTGTAACCCTAGTGGCCACAGTAGGTATATTCCCCCTCTGTGTAGATTTTCAAATTCCGTGATTTAAGAAGCAAATGTCAGGAATAAAGCTGCCAACGCCCCCCCCGACTCAGGTAACTGTAAGAGGCACCTTTCAGTGGGTATCACAAAATACAAATATATATGTTGTGTCTGAAATTTAAACTATCCTGATGAATAAATGTTTTTACAATGAGACAACACAAGAATAATTATTATGCTGCTTTAATTTGAATACCCAGACCATTAAAAAGACCGTTACTTTGATCCCCTTCATCCCGAACGCCAGGCAGGGTAACAAGAAGTGTCATCTTTCTATATGACGCGGTTAGGGTTCGACCTCGACCTTCCGCCCTCCAGGCAGACACTCTATCGGTAACAACACAGGGGTGGTTTGATGAAATAGTGGATTGAATTAAAAATAGAAAGGCTATTATGGATTTTTACATGTCCAAGTGGCAGCTCACTTAAAAACATCAATTATATTAGACTCAATATCGCGCATGAACAGTGAAAATTCGCCATGGTGGAATAGAGCTGAAAATACCGAGTTTTCAATGAAGAGCTGAGCGCTCCGTTAAAAATTCAGTTTAAAGACTCGGGTAACTTAGGTCTACAGAGTTTGTGATCTTGTTCATCAAATATATCTGGTGCTTGACTTCAATGCCTGTTAAAGGCTCAGCGTTTCAATCACCCCGATGTGAACTCACGCAGTAAATCGGAATCCTTAGACCGTTCCATCTTTCGGACATTTTGACTAGCCAGGAGTCAGGTGTGGGTCAATGTGACACATTGCCAGTGTACTTTCTTTATTCTGTCAGTATGTGGATAAGAACAACATAAACAGTGTTTCACATGTTGAGTTTCAAGTCACAACCATGTACATGATTATCCCGGTATAATAGTCTCAAGAATATTGATAAATGGTGTTTGAATTTAGCATAAAGTCGTGGGCTACCCAAGAAAGACTCAAGTATAAACAAAATGATAACCTAACTGACAACAATTGCATAAAAACAAATTCGTTTCACATAACGGGAACATGAAAGGCAACAGGTAAAAATATACTTCAAAGTCAGTCAAAGGGGCATAACTCTAGACGCTGGGTGATCGAAGCGTCTGTAAAATATATAAAAACGAGTTTTTTTAGATGAATTAATTGCAGTGACGAGTGAGGATGGTTTCACGCCCCTATTAGCAATATTCCAGCAACATCACGGCGAGGGACACTAGAAATGCGCTTTACACATTGCACCCATGTGGGGAATCGGACAAGGGTCTTCGGCGTGACGAGCGAACGCTTTAACCACTGCATGGGCTACCCCACAGCCCCGAATTAAATACAACATGCACATGGGTCATTATAATCGAGTGACATACGACAATAAGTGTTATAGCACACTGATACATATAGGCAAATGGAAAGGAGAAGGGTCGTTCAGGCAAACATGTCTACTCTTAAAATATGTACATAAATATTTTCCAAGCTCTTGTTCCATTCTTGTAGCGCACATATAATGTAATAGAACTCTGGAGTAAATGTGATATACAACAACTAGAAACTACTCCAAAACCTCCGCTCGACATCGTTCGTAAGACGTCGATGGTGGTGTGTGGGTTTGGGAAGGTAGGGTGGGGGTGTGGGTGGGGTGTAGTGGTGGTGTTTTTGTTGAGGTGGGGGTACGTTGGGTAAAAAACGCCTCCATATAGCTCCAATATACACAACCGGAAAATCAAATACTATTTTCTTGGTAGTCAAATACACTCACAAGCATGTATTTTTAAAAATTCAGTTTCATCCAAAGTATCCGTATGATAACATTTAAGAATTCAAAGCGTCGGAGGAGTCATGGAAGACGCAAAGATCAGTCACACTAGGTTATGGTCGTTTCAGCCTATCATCTTTGTGATGACATTAAACCTTATCATGCGTGCGCGAAGAACGTCAGATGGTAGAGTGGGTTCAAAGGTCAACTGGTTCAGCATCCCGGTCTTCATCCCTTGGATCTTTTTCTGGACTATGGACAACATCTGACCTGTGCAGCAGATAAGCGATGATGAACATAAGCAGAGCGCTACCTTGCAAACATAGGCCTATTCCTTTTTCATTTGTCCTTAGTGACGGCAGGTCATACAATGCGCATGCGCCAGTTTGACCGCATGACAGATCTCTGATTCTGCAGGAGCTGGCAATCGCTGGTCTATAGATGACTGTAGAGGAAAGCCATGCTGGAATTAGGAAAGAAAGGCATGAGTACACACAATTCGAATTCCATAAAATGTATTTTTTTAGATATTACGAAACAGCATTCAAACGGTCATTAACAGAAAAACGATGACGAAATTATTTCGTTACTTTGTGACGTTTTTAAAATGCAGAACATCTTATAGCAATGATAAATTTTTAAAGTGAATTTTTAAAGTGAATTTAATAAATTGCATCATCGTCAACCTACCGACTAGACAACAGAAAAAGCCCGTTAGAGCAAGGGCCATTGTTCTCCTCGTTGCAGTCATGCTCCTGAAATGTACGGAGGGAAACTAAAAGGTCAAGGATAATGTGTGACGCACCTTCATGTACATACGGTAAGTAAAGCGCAAAACACTGTATGTCACGCACCTTCCACGTGAAGGGTCAAAGACAGTGTGTCACGCATCTTCAACATCCAGATGGAAACTAAAGGGTCAAGGACAGTGTGTCACGCACCTTCAACATCCAGATGGAAACTAAAGGGTCAAGGACAGTGTGTCACGCACCCTCAACATCCAGATGGAAACTAAAGGGTCAAGGACAGTGTGTCACGCACCCTCAACATCCAGATGGAAACTAAAGGGTCAAGGACAGTGTGTCACGCACCCTCAACATCCAGATGGAAACTAAAGGGTCAAGGACAGTGTGTCACGCACCCTCAACATCCAGATGGAAACTAAAGGGTCAAGGACAGTGTGTCACGCACCCCCTCAACATCCAGATGGAAACTAAAGGGTCAAGGACAGTGTGTCACGCACCCTCAAAATCCTGATGGAAACTAAAGGGTCAAGGACAGTGTGTCACGCACCCCTCATCATCCAGATGGAAACTAAAGGGTCAAGGACAGTGTGTCACGCACCCTCAACATCCTCATGGAAACTAAAGGGTCAAGGACAGTGTGTCACGCACCCTCAACATCCAGATGGAAACTAAAGGGTCAAGGACAGTGTGTCACGCACCCTCAACATCCAGATGGAAACTAAAGGGTCAAGGACAGTGTGACACGCACCTTCAATGTACGGATGGATTTTAAAGGGTCAAGGACATGTGTCACGCACCCTCAACATGAGTGTGAATGTTCGTGGAAGTGCGTGAACACACACCTGACCATACACAGTCGTCTGGATTCCGGGTTAGTATATAGTCCTTGTAACTGTTTCTGGTTGTAATACAAGATGGAGCGAGAGTGGATCACGCTCGGTGATTTGTGCAACATTGTACAAGCTCCAATGATTATTATTATAGGATATTTATATAGCGCACATATCTACGCACTGGTGCATGCTCAAGGCGCTGGTATTTTTCCCTCGATCATTGGATGTCAATCTCAACAGCACATCGCATTATCAATCTCAACTCCCTGGGGAGTATACAACTCTTGCAGCCACTAGGCGCACCGAGTTATTGTGGTTTTCTCATCCTAACGAGGTACCCATTCACAGCTGGGTGGACTGGGACACATAGTCACAGTACTTTGTCCATGTTCACTGCATGTTGCTGTACCCGCAACTAGGTGTTTGCACGTATTCATGTGGCCACCATCTGGTCAAATACCAACGGATTCGTGGGTTCTTTTAAGTGCACAGGGTTGTGTACTGTACACTAGGGTTGTGACAACACTGAAAGAGTCTGCACACAAAGTTGACTCCAAGGTTTTACACCCGGTCACAGGTGGGCTCGATCCCGACACCTCAACCTCGCTGGATCACTAGCCTGGCGCCTTAGCCAGCTCGCCCACCGCGCCACAGTGCTGTAGTTTCAACATGCTTCATTTCCCTGCATGGATGTTTATGGTATCCAGTATATGCACCAGGTGTTCGGAACTTCCAGGTCAGGTCAACGATGCTCATAATATCACTCTTTGGTTTGTCTCCAATATTTTGGCGGTGTAGCCTACGATTGGCTCATAATATCACTGGGTTTGGTTTGTCTCCAATATTTACGAATTATCAGGTCAGTCATCAGTCTCTGATTATCAGGTATAGCTGAGATATTTCAGCCTGAGGCTTTCATCATCATCATTGACAACAACAACAAAAACTCCAAACAAGTTAAAATTATCTCACCCTTTCTATTTTCAGTTAAAAATATGTGAACTCCTATTTTGTTTCTTTAAGGGCTTTGTTGACTTGCTCTCACCTGATTATCGTCTGTACGACTGCAACACTGGACGCCATTGCACAAATTCCGGACACCACATCCGCTACTATGTAGTACCACAGGTAGGGGCACTCCCTGGGGCAGACACCAGCCACGCCTTCACCCCCGGGGATGCCAACACATCCAGTGTACGTCTGAGAAGAGAATACACGTCACTAAACTGATATAACGAATATCTCAAACCCGACAAGAAAAACCGAATGGCAAGTGTAAGAAACTTTAATGCAGATGAAATCAGAAAGTGTAATCCCAAATATAACATATGTTACATTTGACCACTTTCTAAAATGGCATTGTGTATTTCACAGATGAAATCAGTCAGACCTTGCGTTACTCTTGTCTAATCGTAATCAGCAGGGAATACCTACTAGATTCCAAAATACAATATGTAGGTGGGTAGGTAGGTATGTAGATAGGTAGATTGGTGGGTGGGTGGGTAGGTAGGTAGGTTGATTAGTGGGGTGGGTAGGCAGGCAGGCAGGCAGGCAGGCAGGCAGGCAGGCAGGTAGGTAGGCAGGTCAGGCAGGCAGGCAGGCAGGTAGGTAGGCAGGCAGGTTGGGTAGGTAGGTAGGTTGGTGGTTGGTAGGTTTAAGTACGGTAGGTGGGTGGGTAGAAAGGTAGATTATATTCCCACGTCTTAACCACTGTAATGTAAGTCTATGGAACTATATCTGTGCAACACTAAACAAAATTAATTTCATCTTCTATATACATGCACGTAGAAGATACTTACATCAAAATAACAAAGACATCGAAATTTACGTAGTAATTTATGATATTATGATCTACGCAGCAGAAAATATTATCTGATATATAATCATCGGCAACATAGACAATAGTTCATACTTCTGTTTCATGTCAGCTCTGGTTTAATGAATAATGACTCGTATTTTCACTTTCAACCTTGATTTTATTGAGGTACTATATGAACATTAAATAAAGTAACTCTTCATTTAAAATAGTAAAACAAATAGCCGGGCAAAGGTAAGTATACTCCCATGTCTGATGTTGAAAATGAAACAAAGAAGATTTAGTTTTCCTACAGTGATATTTTCATACGGATATCGTGTGTTTTGCAGCAACTTTTCAGGCTATTAACGTTTTGATAACGCTTGTAATTAATAATTCTTCATACAATCCAATTTTCAAGTGTATGCTTTCTTTTTGTCAGACAGTATATATACCGACCAAGAGAAAAAAGTTCATGTACATATGTACATACTGTGCCTGTTTGATTGGTGCAGCCTGCATCACAAGGGGAGATGTAGCTTCGACCATCCCCGCCACACAGGGGAGAGTATTCAGTGACGTCACACGTACAATCCGCGGAAGGACTTCGGAGCCTATATTGATACAAATCACCATTAACTACAAAATATTTCCGAATGGCCTTGAAGGTCTTTAATAGATTGTGTTGCTCGGCTATTGGATCACATTGTTATTATTGATGAATGATTTATGCAGTCAGTCAACCGACTGTCGCTATGAATCTAGTTGGTGACGGATTGTATTGGTTGTTGTTTAACGCCGCACTCAGCAATATTCCAGCTATATGGCGGTGGACTGTACAGATCTGGAGACAATCCAGTGATCATCACCATGAGCATCGATCTACGCAACTGGGACACGATGACATGTGTCAACCAAGTCAGCGAGTCTCACCACCCGATCCCGTTAGTCGCCGGTTACGACAAGCATGGGTTACTGAAGACCAATTCTAACCCGGACGTTCACGGGTCGACTGATTGTGTAACTCGTTAGAGATTTCATCAGTTTCGGCTGTGTTGGTCAGTCATATCAATAAGTATATGTTAGCTTGTAAAAAGGCACCACAGAGGTACGAGTTGCCATGTCAACCATGGCTGTATAAAAAATATATTTACAAGAAACATTTTCATCCCGAAGATTGTCGAAGCTTACCGTTACATGCATCCTAAACATACCGCGTAATATTTATTCAATTTGAAAATCGGTCTGCAAATATCTCTAGCACGTATGTGTGATTGGTACCAGGCTGTTTTGTGTCTTGAGAGAGGACACGTACCATGTGGCATTCTGTCGTCTCTTGTCTGACAGATCTCAACATAAATTAAAAACGTTGACGAATTCATAATAAATTTATGCTCGCATCTAAATGTATTTTTGGATCGTTACCTCTGCTCACCAAGCCCCATGATATCCGGGTTGTCACAACCAAGCAATAGTTGAAGCGCGAATGTTAACAGCGCTGTTGTCATGGCAACAGTTGCAAATTTCAGACAACCCTTGTTGTTCAATCTGAGAAGTGCCGGGATTACAGCGCCAGCAATTGCACCCACAAACAACACAAATAGGAGCTTGACCGCTGGAAAGGGAATTAAAACAATTCAACAACATATATAGTTAGTTGGAATGTATTTCTGAGTGCTATTTAACGCCGCACTCAGCAATATATTACAGCTATATAACGGTGGTTTAAAAATAATAAAGTCTGGACCAGACGACCCCGTGATTTACATCATGAGCATCGATTTACGCAATTGGGACACACTGACATGCATCAACTAAGCCAGCGAACCTGACCGTTAGTCGTATCTTACGCTCGAGACTGCATACAGGAAGTGGAGAGATTTGTTGGCGAAGGCCTAATGATGTGGGCTGTCATCTCCCATACCGGTAGAAAAGACAAAGTACACGTCCGGGGTAATTTAACGGCACAACGGCACACATATGGAATTATTCGGCAACACGACCTTCCCATGATGCAACAAGCAAACGTAACGTAACGCCCGACCTCACGCATGACCAACCAACGGCCTTTTTGAGGAACCAAGGTCTCCAGATCTAAACCCCATCAAACATTTATGGGATGCTCTGTGATCACGTCAGCAACAGCTATAGAAATCTTCAACAGTTGGCACTACAGGAAGAATGGGTGAACATTCCCCGGGTGACAATTCGTAATTTGATTCATTCCATGGGACGACGATGCCAGGAAGTTATGGACTTCATGGGGGCCATACAAGATATTGAGGGTAGATGACCTCCACCGTGACATTCGATTGTTTCACGTGTGCCAAAATAACCCTCGGTCGGTGACAATAACTTGGGCCAAATTTGAACAATTCATTATGATGTGTTGATTATATATATGTATACATCTGAAAAAACACTTTGCCAATTTTTAGAAGAGTAAATGTGCAGAAAAACATTCAGTTTTAGCAGGTGGCACTGGAAGTGTATTAAGACTACTCAAACATATCAACAAAATAACATAGCACGAGTATAGTTATCACAGATCTGGAATGTCACAGGACACCTGGGATTCGAACCCACGAGAGGGGTGTAAAGAAGGCAACTCTTCACATCCTTTTGCTGTGCAACTCCTGAAGTGGGTTGCTGTTTGTTAATGTGTGCATATTCAGAAGAAAACTATCCACTATATGTGGTACTCACCTGTGATGAGATAGGCCGGTTGTGCCGACATATAGAACTGGACCTGGATGTACTGAACTTCATAATCCATAGATCGCATCAGGAACATGGCGGCACAACTGATGCCCCCGAGCATGGTCACAAAGACACAGTTGCTTAACAGCAGAATGACACATCTAGGTAGATCTGTCAACCGAAAGAGACATATCACATTGCATACTACAAGGGACACAGAGGGAGATCGTGCAAGGTAGGTAGGAGATCAATAGGCAGGGATAGACGAGGGACAGAGGTAGAGAGATCGGACAAGGTAGATACATAGATCAATAGGCAGAGGTAGACAGGTAGACAGATCAAGGGTCACAGGTAGAGAGATCATAGGACAGATATGTACTAGTGTTTATGGGCATGGGAAAACAGATTAATGGGACAAATGTAAGCTTTTTTATAAGACCAATCGGTTTGCAGCATACCATTCCTTCATTTTACAATTATTCATAACATGCAAACTAATAAATCTAAAAATAATTTTCATCTCTTTTCTGTGGCATCCTGGAAGGAACATTGTTGCGTTGGCACACAAACGCGCAAATAAGTGCCAGAATTGATCAAACTACAAATTACAATAATGCGACTTTGTGACTATTTGTACAATAGTCGCGATCTGTTTTATTTTGACTTTTCTTTATTACCAAGGGCGAGAATATCCCTTCAAGGATTCATAGTATCTCCCATAAATCTCTGCAACTCCCTCACCTTTGAGCTTCTCCCAAAGTGAAAGTCCTGCCGTACAGGGGTGTCCCGGCAGCGGCTTCCTGCCCCAGGTGCTGATGCAAAGGGGTGCGGCAAATATCACCGTCAGTGTCCCAATCCACCACGCCCCTACCCAAGACGGGTCGGCAAGACGTTTGGATTCCTCTGCAAGAAAAAACAACGGAACTCCAAGAGAACGTATTTGAACGGCTCGTTTGGCTTGGCTTGTAGAGCGTCAAAATGAAAATGACGTTATTTATTACGTCAAGAACTTATGTATAAGGATTTATCTTTACTCGTTAAATAGACACACCAATGCAAAGGAATAACAAGTCTTCAGACCGATTCCATAATCTGAATAACAGAAGAATAAATGATGGTACAAGGTGTTCGCGCTGGTAAGCATGCCAAACCCTATCGTTTACACCCGCCATTCTAACAGTTTGCACATAAAAAAGTAATTATTTATTGCTTGACGCAAGACAGCAATAGTCCTGCCAGACAATCAAATGATCGATGGACCAGAACAGCAAGTGATCGACAGTGCATTTACGTATTTTGTTAAAATTGCACAAACGATCGATGTGTGAATTTTTGAATTACGCCTACTGTAAAAGAAACTGGATATATTCTGCTGCTTGTAAGGACAGAAAAACGTTTAACAAATGTATTCGGTTTGCATTGGTCTTATCTTATGGCATTCAGGCCCTTAATCTCAGTAACATGAAATCAGTAATTCCGACACAAGGCTTCTCTTTGAGAACATCTGCGGACACCTCCATGGAAATTCGTGTCAGGTAAATATTCTAAAAAGCTAGTTAGCCTCGAGGCAAACAACCATACCTCATTTCTGTATCTCGAAAATGAACATTATCAGGAAGTTCCGAATGTTCCTCGCTATCATATACTTCCCATCAAAAGTTTAGACTCTCTTAAAACACTCACTATATGTTATTTATATATACTGAACCACAAAAGAAATGTCGCACTGATAGCGGTTTCCTTAAAGCACACACTTTAATTCACTCTAATTGACAATCAAAACGGATTAGTGAGGTCAAACTTGATAATTATGGTTAACACAGTTTCAGGAATCACATTTAGAGTTCACACAAACAAAATCACCCAAAATGGTACCATTAAGATACCCCAAAGTCAGTATCGTGTGTGGCCTCCATGGGCATCGATGAAAGCGTTGCATCGTCTGTACATGGAATGAATTAGCCGGTTGATGAAGGTCACAGGCACTTGAGTCCATACTCAGCGAAATGCCTGACCGAGTCCAGCCGCAGTTGTCGGCCTTGGTTTGAGGCCATTCAGTCTTCTTTGAATCTCGTCCTAAAGGTGTTCTATTGGACTTCAATCCGGACTGGGTGCGGGCTATTGTAGGGTTTGGATACCATGTTGTCTTAGGAAGTCCAATGTTGCTCTGGCAGTGTGGGCACGACCGTTGTCTTGCTGGAAGATGTGATTTCTGTAACGTCCAAAATGTGGTGCAACGTGGGGTCTTATGACTTAATCAATATAGCGAGCAGCTGTCACGTCATTTCCTCATCCTGGACCAAGATTCTGGAACACCAAGGTCTCAACTAACTGGTTCAGACTGACTGCACCCCACACTATGATGCTTGGACCACCCCACGAGTCTCTTTCAAGAAAACGCTAATTGCCATACTCTCACTCTGCCATCGACTGTCGAAACACAATATCGGCTTTCATGAGATAAAAGCACAGTTCTCCATTGTCGATAACGCCAATTTCGATGCTTAGTTGCCCATTGCAGTCGGTTTTGGCGGTGATGATCGGCGAGGACAGGACTACGATAGGGTCTGTGACAGGAGAGGTTTCTTCCGAGCAAACGTCGACGCACTGTTCCGGCACTGATGGGTCTGTTGTTAGTCCCCATAGTATGGCGTGCTGTTTCCGTCGCTCTGGGGAAGCGATCGTGCAGATGGTGGCGCACTATCTGTCGGTCTTGACGTTGCGATGTTACTGAATGTCGCTCACTGCATGGACGGTCTTGGATGCTGTTAGTGACCTGATACCACTCCTGCAGTCGGTAGATTGTCCTAACATGAACATTTAAATGATTGGCTACTCTCCGTGCAGTCTGGACAACTTGCAATCGTCCCAAGACGTGGTTCTTCTGATCACTCGTAAGTTGTGCCATGGCAATTGTGTCAAAACAAAAATGATTTCTGGCGAGTTTGAGACTCGCTTTCATTGGTAGGTTTGTCACGACATGCACCTGCATTTTCATTTTCACGAATGTCATACGGAACCTTAAATACCATGTCTGCCCTTTTCGGTGCGTTTGGTCGATATGCTTTTTAATCAGAAAACACATTGGTGTTGGTAATAACTGTCAATTTGGATTGAAAAACATGTTAACAAAACAGTACAATCATAATAAATACACCACCTTGCAAGAACAAAATTTTGCTTTTGGTTTTGAAAAGCGACGTTTCTTTTGTGGTATATACATGGTTACATCGAAGATTGATTTCTCAACTAACTTGGGGGAACCAACTGCAAATATTATGCAGATGAATTGCACGAGGATCATGCATCAAATTGCTGAAAAGCATATGCAAATATCGTGCATGTGAACAGCTACGTTTTGGTGTAAAGTTTTAAGAATTTGCAAATTTTCACTGATTTTTAACATTTATTGAACTCATGACAATAATCTTTTCAACGTTGCGAATTTGTTTTACAATACATCAGTTCATGTGTAAACAGTACCTTTAAACAGCATGGAATATTTTGCAAAATTTAGTTTAGGACAGTTGCCTGAAGTAAGTGGCTATATTTACACTAGTGACTTTTGATGGGAAGTATATTACGCACTGTGGAAAGAATCGAAGTGGTAAGATACGAAGCGCGGAATTGTTTCAGCAAAATGACCTCTGATTCGCTCCAGAACCCAGTGCATGCCTGAAAGCTAATCAGTATTATACTGGAGTTAACCGTCTGATTTTAATGATATGATAATTCCTCGTTCTGGTTGCTACAGTATTCCCTATGTGTACCTGCATTGTCCGTCGACGTGGTGTTGCACAGTGTTGCACAGACATAGGCCAATGGACGTCCGAAGAAATTCACCACAAGCAATAGCCCTACAAAGGACAATCAATGTTGAGAATACTCCCACGCATGCACAATAATATACTATTCACACTTTGCTGAGGATCATATATGGATCAAAACCATTGATTCAACAGAAAACTATGATGTGGGGTCGAATTTGGTTTAAATATCTAAGCCTATTGTAAGCATGGATCCATCCTGGGTTTCAGTATGTTATTTCATCTTGTGGATCCCATATCTGCTATTGACAGGTGTTGTGTACTTGTCAATGACTCGTTCTATGATTTGGAAAATGGTTGATTGGTGCAATGAAAACCATGTTTATGGTTACACATGAATCAGGTGCATAAGGTTAGATGAAAGTGACTTTTTGCCTAAAGAGGGGTTACCATATCATTATTTACCCAATTTTAAATGAATACATTTTGAAAATATAAATCTATGTTTAAGTAAATTTGGCGATCCTTAGTAAAGTGTGAGTAGTATAGTTAACTGTACAGGAATACACCAAATACAGTAAGTAAGCGAAAGTAATGCCACCATTTCAATTTAGGTCGTCAAATTCCCCCACACGGAACAAATATAATTGGCAAACATTCCATGCCATTACACCGTGTCATAAATTAGTTACAAGCTGTTACGCGGAGTCTTTTATAACGAATATTTTGCATTATCAACAAAGTTCAACTAGACACGATTGTCAAAACCCAATATTACCTTCGTCATTAGTGAATTTTATAGATATGCTATGATGGTTATCTTTTAAAACATACAAGGAGCGAATAATAATTTTGGGTGTGTCCTGCTAAACAACGATTGACAACAGTAACAATACCTATGTTATGATGTACCTTACCGTTATATAAAGTAGCCTGGGTCTTGTTTGGTGCATCATGTTCAATGAAAGGGGAACCGAGAATAAACCTGACCGGCTGAAATGCGCCCTGCACCATCATCATCACGGCGAAGACGACAACAACCCCCACACTACTTCCGGTTCCGGGCAGGCGGCCATCTTGATTACACGTTCTGTTGTAAGGCTGGTCAGGTAAACACATGCTTGCTTTGTGAAATGTCGTGTCGTGGACGACGTTGTCGCCAATTACAGGGAGGAGTAAGTAAAAAGCACCGAACAAAGACCCAAAGCTACCGTAGATGACAACGCTTGTTCCAATGAAACGTGGAATATTTGAAATTCCAGCGCAACCATAGACTCCAAAAAACAAAATGGTAGCAAGGTAGCCAATGTCCTCAAAAACGATGAGCTGGGTATTGAAGTATTGTTCTAGGGTAAGTGCCTGGGAAATAATATAGCCTCTCAGTATCTCACAGATGAGACAGACGACGGCAAATACCAAGACAAACAGAAGCAGTGGATGGCGTCGTCGGGGATGGCGAGATATTGTTGCAGTCCTCGCTGAAAGACAGACATGTCTCAATTACGTTTCGTTACTACGCCATACTAGAGTCCATGGCTTAATTGTTTCGTCTGTGCACATGCCTGCTGCAGGATAGTATGGAGACCTAGACTGGTATATGGTCGCATTGTCTTTGGTTTTTCAGTAACTAATGTGTTTTTGTACATCGACAGTGCCAGGAATGCCAAGTCTCTACCATGTTATAATGATTAGTTCATGTTAAATCACACTCCGAGAAAACATCAAACTCAACGGACCATTAAGACACAAGATGACCAATGATTATGTCACGCCGCTATGGCGGCCATTTTAACCTACATTGTGACAGGCATAAACGATTACGAAATACTTCAGGCTGCAGCTAAAGGCATTAAACACGGCATCGTTTTTGTAAAACAGATTACATTTATGTCCTGTTCATTCATTGCTCCGGATGTTTGAAGTACAGTACAGGATTGTTAAACGGGAGTTACAAGCATCTTAACTCTAAGATCGCTTTGTGCAACATAGCCCTGGCTGATATAACTAGAAGCAGTCCTACAAGCACAGCAGCCGAACTCGAAAGTTGCCTACAGGACACGATCGAGACCTGCCTGCATGGTCCCTTGCAAGGCTTAGTTTTCTCTCCGCTCTATTTCAGAGGCTACGTAATTCCTTAACTGTCAACCATGGCTCCGAACAAATCCAGTTAACTATGTGTTGGTGCTTCAGAGTATAAACATTTGACACGATAATATGAATGGGCAGCTCACTGTTTTAAAAAAATTGAAGTAAATTTACTTAATTTTAATTGATGTCTTACACATAATTTACAACATTATCTGATTATATTCCCCTCATGTTTGACCACTGGATTGCAAAACACTATTCTGAATAAACAACATTCTCGAATACAATATAGTTGTTTTCCTGATATCCAAAGTTCATATAAATCAATTCCCAAGAACATGTTTGTTTTTTTCTGTTGCACATCATTGATTGAAATTAGATATTTGAAAATACAGTTTTCAATATCCGCGAATTAACAATAGCGCGTGTTCAACAGTCACTCACACATATATATTTTCCTGTGATATTTCCGATCGGAAACACGATATGCAGCTAATAATCTCTATTATTCTGTGTATATTGTGATCGTAAATTACCGTAGTTGTTCCAACGGTATTGTCGGATATACATGTATTTGAAAGACGAACTATCTGAGTACTGTACCTTGAATGCTTAGATTTGTCGATGCCATGACTGGGAAAAAACCAGGAAACAGCGCGCCCGAAAACATGTCAAAATCCATCCTGCCTCACAGCCTTTCCAGTTTACCCTGGAGAAATAGACGGAGTCTGTTAATCATAATTGTATATGCAAATACAGTACAACCAGAAATTATTGAGAATTTTTTTTCACTCATTACTCACGTATTAAATGTGAATATTAGCAGAACATAACTCAAGATTCAAAGACAGGTGAACAGTTAGTATTTTGTCAAGTCACCATGGGCTGCAATGCAGGCTTCAATGCGGCGGGGCATACTACTGATCAAAGAAGTTAGAAAGTCGTGGTCCATGCTGTCCCAATATCGGACCACTTCTTCTTTCATTTGCGCAATATTTGTCAGATTTTTCTAATTGACACTTTCCTTCATATGTCCCCAAACATTTTCTATTGGATTTAGGTCAGGGCTATAGCTTGGCCAATCTAATAATGTCATATTTTGGGTCCGAAACCAGGCCTGTGAATGCTTTGAACGATGTTTTGGGTCGTTGTCCTGCTGGAAAATCCAAAAATTTCCATAGAACACGTGAGCAGATGGAAGTAAATGTCCCTCGAGAATATCTGTGTACCGCTCACTGTTCATATTCCCTTCAAATACACAGAGGGGCGTTGCTCCTAACACAGATATGCCACCCCACACGTTAAATTTCGGACTGTACTTTGGGCGCTGATACAAAGATTTTTCAGTTTGTTTGGACCAGAATTTCAGTGTATTAGGAAACAGCCACACAGAACTTTCATCTGAGAAAATCACATTGTCCCAGTTAAAGTTTCTATGCTGTAAGCACCAGTTCAACCTTCGCTCCTTTTGTTCAGGTTTCATGATCGGTGATGGAATTCCTCGACTTTTCTGCCAACCCATTGCATGCAGCTCAGTTCTAATTGTCTCTTTACAGACAGCCACAGTTCCTCTATCAATCATATCCAGCCTTAAGTTTTCTAAACTCCTTCGTTTGTTTTTAGAAACAAGAATACCAAGCCGCCTCCTGTCACCGACAGTCAATTTTCTGGGCCTACCTGCGCCTCCCTGGTGCTCAATGCCATATCCATTTGCAATATTTTTCAAAACACGATAAACAGTGGACAAAGGGATGCCTGTTCTACTTGAAATCACTTTAGCTGATCTGATGTCCTTGTTATAATACTCTAAAATCAACTTCCTCTTCTCTAAATCATCCATACTGAGGATCACTGAAAATGTCGTCTGCTAGCAAGTAAACAAAGGGGGATAACTCTTCACAAACTAATGAAAAAGGATTAACGGTGTTGTCTCTCTTGAATGAAACCAAGCACTTGATAGATAGTCAGGGTTGTTTATACTAGAAACCCAATTAAATATATTCCTAAAATTCTCAATAATTTCTTGTCATACTATACGTCCTCATTTAAACACAGTCGGGCTAATTTGGTTCAGTGTATTCAATATGACTGATATTAATGGACATTATTTGAGAAATCACCACGGTCGTTTTAGACGTCCATACTTGTACAAAGGGTGAGCAAGTAAGTTTAGTTTTACGCCGCTTTTAGCAATATTTCAGCAATATCATTTGTACCAATGTGGGGAATCGAACCCGGGTCATCAGCGTGACGAGCGAACGCTTTAACCACTTGGCTACCCCACCGCCCCCTTGTGCAAAGTGGCGTAATTATTCAAATCTTAATATATATAACGAGACTATTCAGATATTTAGATAGAACGTATGTTTGTCACATGCCTGAATGTGCATACTTCTTCACAGAAATACGTTAGTGAAGTTTTAAATATAACAACTGTTGTTTACCTGTTAACAGTAACACTTGTTCGATGTAATCAAAGTTCACTGTTACTGCTGTTCACGATGATATAATCGTCTTCTGTAGTAGCTCTTCAGCGTAGTGGCTGTTTAGCGTAGTAGCTCTTCTCCGTAATGGCTGTTCAGCGTATGCGTAGTAGCTCTTCACTGTAGTGGCTGTTCAGCGTATGCGTAGTAGCTCTTCACTGTAGTGGCTGTTCAGCGTATGCGTAGTAGCTCTTCACTGTAGTGGCTGTTCAGCGTATGCGTAGAAACTCTTCACTGTAGTGGCTGTTCAGCGTATGCGTAGTAGCTCTTCACCGTAGTGGCTGTTCAGCGTATACGTAGTAGCTCTTCACCGCAGTGGCTGTTCAGGGTAGTAGCTCTTCACCGCAGTGGCAGTTCAGGGTAGTAGCTCTTTACCGCAGTGGCAGTTCAGGGTAGTAGCTCTTCACTGCAGTGGCTGTTAAGCGTAGTAGCTCTTCACCGTGGTGGCTGTTCAGGGTAGTAGCTCTTCACCGTAGTGGCAGTTCAGCGTAGTAGCTGTTCGTTATTTATTGTCATGACTGTTCACTCTGATTGCTGTTCACTGCTATGACAGCCCTCAGCATTAGTCATCCATTGTTTTATATTTTTACTGGTGTAACTGTTGAGGGTAACAGTTCTTATCTGCAGTTATACCTGTAAGTTATCGCTGTAATGCCTGCTCGTTGTAATAGTTCTTCACATTAATAGACGTTTCCTGTTTAGGCTGTTCAGAGTGATAGAAGTTCACGCTTATAACTGTCACTGATCTTTCGTGCAACTATCAAATGTTATAACCGACACTGTCACTATGACTGTTGTTTCCTGTAATGGCTGTTAAGGGTTATAACTGCCCCTGTTATATCTGTTGACGTTATAACGGTTCACTGTTGTATCTGTTGACGTTGTGTCTGTTGACGTTATAACGGTTCACTGTTGTATCCGTTGACGTTACAACGGTCCACTGTTGTATCTGTTGACGTTATAACGGTTCACTGTTCTATCCGTTGACGTTATAACGGGTCAATGTTGTATCTGCTGACGTTATAACGGTTCACTGTTGTGTCTGTTGACCTTATAACGGTTCACTGTTGTATCCGTTGACGTTATAACGGGTCAATGTTGTATCTGTTGATGTTATAACGGTTCACTGTTGTGTCTGTTGGCGGCTATAACTGTTTGCTGTTGAATCCGTTGGCGGTAACAATCGTTATAAGTGTTTATAACTGTTGTATCTGTTGGCGGATATAACGGTTCACTGCAGTTAGATTTTACTGTTACCCCTGTGACGAATGTAACTCCAAATTCATAACACTGCATCACGATTCACATGTCCACGTGATATTCCGTTACACGGGAAGCACATCACATCAAAACAGAGGAATGACTGGCGCTGTACAGTTACTGTCAGAGCCACTTCAATCACAGGGCAAGGGGCCAGTACGTCCGTCCTGGCACGTCCTACCTTGCAACAAAACTCAGAGTCGGAAGAACCAGTAATACATGATAAAAATAGTGCACACTCTTTGACATGTGTTGTTGAATGGGAACTCCTGTCCGATTATCTCATGAACAGGAAGAACATCCTCGTCAGGAAATCGTCTCGGTTCAAAAACTGTGCTTACATATAAAACATCACAGAGTAAGCACAAGCCAGGCGTAAGTGGTTCAGATCACTCTAGGCTTGCTCCAGGAAAAGTATACACGCCCCTTCGCTCTCGCCAGCAGTAACAGTTAATCCTGATTTGAGAGAAACCCAGTTTCTGATCAACAGCTGTTCATCTGTAGAGACATGTAATACATTCTGCATTACACAGCAGTACTCGCATATAAATGGATCTGGTTTTATAATTAATGCACATTGCCACAATTTATATTCAGCTCATACAATGTGATGCCTTATTGTAAGTGGGAGTACAGCGAGGGAAATGTGTGGCATGAATGTTGGAAAGACTGTTGTAAAAAATATTTATGGGTCCTAATATGTTTTTAATGGATGATTTTGAACATATTTAAGCCAATCACGTGTCAAATTTTGCACCTGGAGCTTATAAAATATCTTGTCTCCAAAAGAAAATAGGTCGTCGATAATATCAATCGCCACACCGGACGCCACAAAGTCATTGCTATAATAATATTGCTTTAATTGGCATGCAACAACAACTGTGAGAACTATTCAACACACGTTTTCTTCACAGGACACGTGGAATTGTTTGGGCGTTTTCGGATACCGCTCTATAAAATGACCTACTGTACTCAACACGCATGGTCCCGTAGTCCAAGTGGGGCAAATCTCAAAACAATGTTACACTCGGCCAAGTAGATCCAGTGTAAACAGCACCGCCAGCAATCGGTGCAACTAGTGTAGACTACACAACCAGAGCTGTCAGTGCAAATAGTGTGGACTACACAACCAGAGCAATAACTGCTACCAGTGTCAGCTACACAACCAGACCAACCAGAGCGGTGAGTGCAAATAGTGTCAACTACACAACCAGAGCGGTGAGTGCAACCAGTGTCAACCACACAACCAGACCAACCAGTGCAACCAGTGCCAACTACACAACCAGAGCGGCGAGTGCAAACAGTGTCAACTACACAACCAGACCAACCAGTGCAACCAGTGTCAGCTACACAACCAGACCAACCAGTGCAACCAGTGTCAGCTACACAACCAGAGCGGTGAGTGCAACCAGCCTCAACTACGCAACCAGAGCAGGCAGTGCAACCAGTGTCAGCTACACATCCGGACCAACCAGTGCAACCAGTGTCAGCTACACAACCAGACCAACCAGTGCAACCAGTGTCAGCTACACAACCAGAGCGGCCAGTGCAACCAGCCTCAACTACGCAACCAGAGCAGGCAGTGCAACCAGTGTCAGCTACACATCCAGACCAACCAGTGCAACCAGTGTCAGCTACACAACCAGACCAACCAGTGCAACCAGTGTCAGCTACACAACCAGAGCGGTCAGTGCAACCAGCCTCAACTACGCAACCAGAGCAGGCAGTGCAACCAGTGTCAGCTACACATCCAGACATCAACCAGTGCAACCAGTGTCAACTACACAACCAGACCAACCAGTGCAACCAGTGTCAGCTACACAACCAGAGCAGCCAGTGCAACCAGTGTCAACTAAACAACTAGACCAACCAGTGCAACCAGTGTCAGCTACACAACCAGAGCAGCCAGTGCAAGCCAGACCAACCCGTGCAGCCAGTGTCAGCTACACAACCAGAGCAGCCAGTGCAACCAGTGTCAACTACAGCTACACAGACAGACCAACCAGTGCAACCAGTGTCAACTACACAACCAGACCAACCAGTGCAACCAGTGTCAGCTACACAACCAGAGCAGCCAGTGCAACCAGTGTCAACTAAACAACCAGACCAACCAGTGCAACCAGTGTCAGCTACACAACCAGAGCAGTCAGTGCAACCAGTGTCAACTACACAACACCAGACGAATGTGTGAAGCCCATTTCAGGTGCAAATATTGCCAGTGTCACTGTCTACGCAGTCAATGCAACCAGTGTCAACAGCCCAGAGCAATAACTGCTAGCAGCTACACAACCAGACCAACCAGAGCGGTGAGTGCAAATGTGCAAACCAGTGTGCAGCCAGTGTCAACTACACCAGACCAGAGTGCAGCCAGTGCCAGTGCAACCAGTGTCAGCTACACAACCAGACCAGTCAGTGCAACCAGTGTCAACTACACAACCAGAGCGGTCAGTGCAACCAGTGTCAACTACATAACCGGACCAACCAGAGTAACCAGTATCAAGTACACAACCATACCAATCATTGCAACCAGTGTCAGCTACACAACCAGAGAAGTCAGTGTAACCAGTGTCAACTACACAACCAGACCAACCAGTGCAACCAGTGTCAACTACACAACCAGAGCGGTGAGTGCAACCAGCCTCAACTACACAACCAGACCAACCAGTGCAACCAGTGTCAGCTACACAATCAGATCAATCATTGCAACCAGTGTCAACAACACAACCAGAGCAGTCAGTGCAACCAGTGTCAGCTACACAACCAGACCAGCCAGTGCAACCAGTGTCAACTACACAGCCAGACCAACCTGTGCAACCAGTGTCAACTACACAACCAGAGCGGTGAGTGCAACCAGCCTCAACTACGCAACCAGAGCAGTCAGTGCAACCAGTGTCAGCTACACAACCAGACCAACCAGTGCAACCAGTGTCAACTACACAGCCAGACCAACCAGTGCAACCAGTGTTAACTACACAACCAGAGCGGCGAGTGCAACCAGCCTCAACTACGCAACCAGAGTGGTGAGTGCAACCGACCAGTGTCAACTAAACAACCAGATCAACCAGTGCAACCAGCGTCAAGTACACAGCCAGAGCGGTGAGTGCAACCAGTGTCAACTACACAACCAGATCAACCAGTGCAACCAGTGTCAACTACGGGCGTTGGGGTAGCCTAGTGGTGAAAGCGTCCGCTCGTCACGCTGAAGACCCGGGTTCGAATCCCCAAATGGGTACAATGTGTGAAGCCCATTTCTGGTGTCCCCCGCCGTTATGTTGCTGGAATATTGCTAAAACTAAAACTAAACTCAGTCAGTCAGTGTCAAATACGCAGTCAATGCAACCAGTGTCAGCTACACAAACAGAGCAGTCAGTGCAACCAGTGTCAGCTACACAGCCAGACCAACCAGTGCAACCAGTGTCAGCTACAACCAGACCAACCAGTGCAACCAGTGTCAACTACACAACCGGACCAACCAGTGCAACCAGTGTCAGCTACACAACCAGACCAACCAGTGCAACCAGTGTCAACTACACAACCGGACCAACCAGTGCAACCAGTGTCAAATATACAAACGGACCAATCACTGCAACCAGTGTCAACTACACAACCAGACCAATCACTTCAACCAGTGTCAACTGCACAACCAGAGTATTCAGTGCCACCTGTGTCAACTACACAACCAGACCAACCAGTGCAACCAGTGTCAACTACACAACCAGACCAACCAGTGTCAGCTACACAAAAAGAGCAGTCAGTGCAACCAGTGTCAGCTACACAACCAGACCAACCAGTGCAACCAGTGTCAGCTACACAACCAGACCAACCAGTGCAACCAGTGTCAACTACACAACCGGACCAACCAGTGCAACCAGTGTCAACTACGCAAAAAGAGCAGTGAGTGCAACCAGTGTCAGCTACACAATCCAGACCAACCAGTGCAACCAGTGTCCACTACGGGCGGTGGGGTAGCTAGTGGTTAAAGCGTCCGCTCGACACGCTGAAGACCCGGGTTCGAATCCCCAAATGGGTACAATGTGTGAAGCCCATTTCAGGTGTCCCCGCCGTGATGTTGCTGGAATATTGCTAAAAGCGGCGTTAAACTAAACTCAGTCAGTCAGTGTCAACTACACAACCAGACCAACAAGTGCAATCAGAGTCAGCTACACAACCAGACCAGCCAGTGCAACCAGTATCAACTACACAGCCAGACCAACCAGTGCAATCAGAGTCAGCTACGCAACCAGAGCGGTGAATGCAACCAGTGTCAACTACACAACCTGATCATCCAGTGCAACCAGTGTCAGCTACAGAACCGGAGAAGTCAGTGCAATCAGTGTCAACTACACAACCAGAGAAGTCATTGCAACCAGTGTTAACTATACAACCAGACCAACCAGTGTCACCTACACAACCAGATCAACCAGTGCAACCAGCGTCAACTACACAACCAGACCAGCATATCTGTCGCAACCGAAACCCGTCTACGGTTTCCAGTGTTTTTGCTACTTCATCCAAGTCTGGGTACAGTCCAATCCTGTATATATACTCTTTTTTTATAAAATAGTATTTAATTGGTTTTCCGTTAATATCCGATCGATGTATTTGAGGCTGATAAGGTTTAGATTATCGTACATAAGACGCACTCCATCGAGGCTTATTAAGGGTGTCGATCCCGGTCTTATGATGGTACGACACCGTTGGTGATTGTGTCCGGTGAATCAGCGTAAAATCAACCCAGTCAAAAGTGTTCGTTCTGACCCACGAGCGTCAGCGAGATAGACATCTACTACGAGCGTTGTGTGTGATTTGATAGTCAAATTTGAATCGAATGTTGCCCGTGTGACCTGGTATTCGTAAAACGTGTACATCAAACTCTGGAGTGAAAGACGTGAGAAGGATCCCGTTGTTCGTTATTTTGGAGACGTAACCATTGCGTTTAAAAGATATCTGGGGTGAGGTGAGGGTCATGTTAATAAACCAGTCTGACTGTTTGAAGTCTGCTAGTGACACCCGCTGGTATACGTTGTCTTTTAAGTGCAGGACGTACAAGGTGTTTT